CCCAATTCACAAGTCAGTCCAAGATGGAAAATGTCTAATATAAACATTTTTTTTAGCTCCCTTGCGATTCCGGCTAAGACAGGTTGACTTGTAGTCCAGGCCTTGGGTAGCTGATGACCAGCAATGACAAATCACTTTTTTAAAGACAAATTCAAAAGATATCATGTGTCAAGATTGTTTTATTTTCACTCTCTTCCCATGCCCAGATATTGTGCAGAGCACTTTTCTTGTCCATGTCTTAACACTAATTTCGACTTTATATCCATTGCAAATTATTAGATTTGGAAATATTTGATGATTTTTGGTGTTGAAACTACAACTAAGCCTAATAATGCAGTAGTATTTTGCATGCTCTACATTTCGGATTTCCCTATAATTTGGGCGGTTAAAAGAAGTTTAGCACCGAAAAGCAGTGAATCTGCGTGCAGGAGTGAAAATGAAAATTTACCCCCCCAAAAAACGCCTTTTGAAGTATAGGTATTCTTCGCATGAAGCTATGTTACAGCGAGCACCTAGCACACCTGTGATTGGCCCAAATATAGATGACGTATTTCTGCCATCTATTTTTGTCATCTTCCAGGTTTCCCTCGCCAGTAACTGTTGACTAGATCTCGCCGTGATATTTTTTTTTTTTTAATTAATCGGAGTGTCTACGTACACAGTAACCTGGCACGTAGTCTCAGTATCTACGTACACGGTAACCGGGAACTTAGTTTCGGGGACCCCTTGAGCTAGGTGCACGGAAACTGCTTCGCCCCCCCCCCCCCCCCCCCCTCCTCTCACCTATCACTGGACTGGCCAATCACAACGCCGCACCATTAACTGCCTGTTTGGAGCCCACCTCCAGCCACCCCATCGCCAAACCCCCTTCCCCCAGATACAGCTCGCTTGATCTCTCCCGCTGTATCCAAGTTCGGGACTTTCCTTGCCCCACTAAAACCAAGTATAAAAGTAATTAAGTTTACATAGAAAAAAGGGGATTCGGGTAAAGTCCCGCTATATGGTCAAATGGAGTAGTCGTGCATCTAGATCTACACAAGGTTGCCCATGACTATGAACTTGATAGAGAAAAAAAGGCAGCTGAAATGGCCATTCATTGTCAAACAATGTGGCCTCACACAATGCACACATCGAAGAATGTCTGAGTTCGCACAGTGCACACACAACACGGCGAGTCGCACAACACGATACTTCTGTGAAGAACGAGGGTGGACCTCCCGGTTACTGTGTACGTAGACTCTGAGACTACGTGCCCGGTTACCGCGTACGTAGACACTCCGTTCATTAATTTGTGTTATAATCTTTTTATAACAATATCAGCAATACTCGTTACATAAATTTACCTTCTCCTCAAAGTTTTACACACACACACTGTAAGCACACGCACACACAAGCGCGCGCACACAGAGCCCAAGCAGTCGATGATAAAACCAAGTGACTTAGCCCATCGCGCGCTAAGCAGGCCTGCCACGATGAGATCTAATAAACTGGTGAGGGAAGCCCCGGAAGACGACAAAAATAGATGGTGGAAATAGGTCATCTATAGCCTATATTAGGGCCAATCACAGAGGTGGGCTAAGTGCTCACTGGAGCTTCATGTGTATTTTTCCAGTTTGAAGTGCATTTAATATTATCCGCATCAGCTGATAAGCCTTCAATATAGCCTAGGATGATAGGGTAAGACTATGACAATACCCTAACCAAAGCAGG